TTGCCAATGCACATGCGAAAAATAACAAAAAATATTTATCAATTTATTGTGGCAGCGCATTTTTGCATAACGCTCTGGTTGATTTTAAGTCATATTTTATAAGCAGTCGGAATATTAAAACAAAAGAATCTGAAATGAATGCGAATTTATTTAAGGCAATATATTTCGGCTTCCATGGTTTTTGGTTTTTTTGTATTTTATACAATATATATATTTCAGATTTTCAAAGGGTTGATTTTATTTTTTTAACAATGTCAGTTTAATATTAATACAGTGGTTTGTTTTTCAAAAGAATTCAAGTGCCTATATAATTTAATAAGAGATTTATTTTCTTCAAGGGAATGCTTAGACTCCAAAAGCCACAGCCTCACACATGTTGGCTCTATCCATCTGACCATAAAGTCACACATTAAGCACACGAGATTTAACAGAATTTGCTCATTTCGCACTAATTTGCAACTAATACCCAGAGTCTGCAGCAAAGCACTGAGCCCCGAAAGACAAAGGCCAGTCCGAAATGGCCAATTGTCTGAAATGTTAAGCCTTTTAATCAATTGCCAAAAATACAAAAAGACCCCGGACTGCACACATTGGTATTCCCAAATGGGGATTTCGTTCATTTCGAGCCGCATTAAGTTCTCATTGAGGGGACAGCCAAGGTTTAGTTTTGGTTTTCCCTTTACAGATTTTAATGGCACCCTTTTGCTGAAGGAAAACTCAGCCTGCTTAGACCCCTAAACATTATAATATAAAAATCAATTTTCCTTGGTAATTACAGTTATGTGGGGGCGTTACGAACAATTTGACCTCTCTCCCGAAAAACGAAATAATTTTGTTTTTCTCCTCTGCGGTTGCATGTGTAAAATGTATTTGAATATTTGATGACTTTGACAAGTTTGATTCGTTGGCAGAGTGACAAGCCGATAGACAAAGGTTCCCTCGAAGATATCAGGTAAACGGCATATGACATGGAAATTGTTAATGATATATGAGTTTCGTTTCATTTCGTTTCGTTCTCCGATTTCCCATCTCGGCGGCTTCTATCCATCTAATTGATTTCGTTGTGTGTCCAGTCTAGCATGTTACTTAGTCAGCAGCCTGACAGTTGGACAGTTTTGTAGGTCCCACCCTACGGATGGATACAGGTTGTGTTTATAAAGTCATTACCCGGCAGCCAGCTGGAATTAGTGGACGGAGTTCAGAGTTCCATTCTGACCCTAACCTGCACATCATCAGCAACATCATCAAGTCTTGGTTGCTTTTTCTAACACTTGTTCTATAGACAGTCTAACTTCGGAAGTGACAACTGTTTTAAGTTTTACATACTCCCAAAAAAAAAACACGATATGAAACGATGATCGATTTGAAGTTTGATTCTTCTTCCTCTCTTTTCCGAAGTCAGAGCATCTCCGAGAAATAATATATAAATAATAATAATTTAATAATGGTTTATTGTGGGAGAAAAAAATATATTATTTATTACTATAAGATACAATTAAGTAAAATATCAGTTAGGTAGCTTTTCAATTTACAGAATGCCAACTGTAATAATTTTCCTAATGATTTTTATGCAATTTCATGTAATGACAAGCGGCGGCCAACAAAAAATGTTAATTTCTACAAATTTTCACCGTGGCGCCAAGGTGACAAGGGATTTGGTGGCACCGCCGTGTCACGGCTGTCCATAAACTCGCACTTTGTGGCACACGTGCCGCGGCACTTGGGCGCACGTGCCCCGCCCCCTTTGGACGCCCTCCCACCCCCCATCTATCTACCGTTAGACATTTTGCCCGATCATGTTTGGGTTAATGAGTGGGGCGTGGCAGGGGCAGCGTTGATTGTTGATTGCCGGTTCAACTTGCAACTTGTCTCGAACGCGTGGCCACTCATTCTCGGCCTGAAAAATGCTGCATATTCGGAAAGTCATGCAGCAGAATTGAAAACTTTTCAATAAAAAAACAGCCAGGAAAATTAGATAAAATATAAATAAAAACATGTATAAAATTAAGAAGCCTGGTATTATTTTTTTAAATTTGTTTATTATATCTAGTTACTTTTAATTTCCCAAAAACTAAACGAACTGTATTTTTTTACGCCTTAATAACACTGTGCAACATTTTTAGGGTTATAAAATGTAACCGCAATTCTGATTTCATGGGCGGAAAGAACTCATCGAAATAAGCTAAAACCCATTTGGGTTTCTGTTGCTTAGCTCGCGTTTACCTATTATAGCGAGTTAAAGTTTTACATACAAAATTTATTTGTAACGGCCATATCTTGTGAACCGATTAAAATTTTACTATCAAGTCTTCAGTGATTATGTAGCTATGAACCCAAGGAACTAAATTGACAAATGACTCTTGCGAAGACGTACACCTAGCGCGTTAAAAATCGAAAAATTAGGCAAATTTGTTTTTTAACGCGCTAGGTGCACTAGGTGCTAAGTGCGCAAGAGTCATTTGTCAATTTAGTTCCTTGGGTTCATAGCTACATAAACACTGAAGACTTGAAAGTGAAATTTTAATCGGTTCAGAAGATATGGCCGTTACAAATAAATTTTGTATGTAAAACTTTAACTCGCTATAAAAGGTAAACGCGAGCTAAGCCAGAGAAACCCAAATGGGTTTTAGCTTATTTCGATGAGTTCTTTCCGCCCATGAAATCAGAATTGCGGTTACATTTTTCATGTTGCACTGTGTAAGCCATATTTCACTTGAAAAATATGTTTAATTTTAATGGGTTCATTTTCAAATCGATTTCCCTTCGCCGGCATAAATCAATTCCGGGTCCCGCCCACCCACGCCCCACCAATTAAGTGGCTCAAATATTTACAAACGCCCCCCGAGGAAATTTAAATATTTTGTCACTGCTTGTTGGACACCCGACATTTAACCTTAGCCCACAAGTCTGCTGCTCATCAGACTCCCCACCAGACTTCCCCATCGCAAACAGTATATATATTTATGGTATGGGGGTACCAGAAGCCTCGGAGATCCACAGCTGCGTCAGCATCATTTACATTCAAATTAAAACGAAAACGCAAACGCCAAAAGGAAATTTATGCCAAGGGAGCTCAGAGCAGAGCTTCCCCATCTTGTTCCACTGGCAAATGATGAGTTTGTTACCATTTTCGTGTGGGGCGGCGCTCTGTTTGTTTTGACACTTGGACTACATGGATCTTTGGCGGTCTTGGCCTATAAATTACCCCGACATTTGACATATGTATATGCTACCCATGCCCATACCCATGCCCGTCGAAGTGGTTGCTCCTGTAAAGATCGCCTGCTGGCGATAGCCTAATGTTTTGTTTGTTTTTCTGATTAGTTTGTAATTAACTCGGGCTTCCCGAACATCGAAGATCGTCGCCTGGAGATAGCTACATAATAATGTCCGAAGGGAAAGTGCAGGTATAAATATAAATTTGGCAAGTGAGGTGCCAGATAGACAAATGCCGATAGCACCTTTTTCAATGAGTTCACCATATAATTAGAGGAAGTGTTGTTATTATTTTCCTCCCCTCCCCACAAGATGTTTATCCTCCAAGTTAATTTCTTTATAATTAGGCAAAGAGGGACCACTATATATAGTTATCAAAAAATGCTATTATTTCCGATTAGTTCGGGCCCTCAATCAAAATGGGGAAAAGTGGAAAAATCCCAAAAACTCTCAATACGATTTTTCTACGCTTATCCACACCAGAAATTCAGACCCAAATCCAGTGCCCAATCATCCATCAAGACTCCACTTAAGACCCAAAACTCCGGCGTGTCAATCGAATTTTCTGAACACCCGAAACTCCCAATGAAAAATTTCACTTTGAGTGACCATGAAAATGCATTCGTTGAACAAGAGAGTGTGTGTATCTGTACCGGGGTATCTGTATCTTTTTCCCTTCAGACTGCCTTCTCCCTTTTCAATTTGTTCTGCCGGCAAGGCGACACTTGCACCCAAGGAATTACGCCTATGTGGAACAGGATATATCTGCGATATTGTTTGAGAAATTCAAACAGGATTTCTGGCTACTTTGCATAGCTGTGCAATGAAGTGTTTGTCAGGGCATTATAATGCGTAATTTATGGGGAGTATTTTTTATAAAGGATAAGTAGCGGGTAATGTGAGTCTTGTCGAAACTTGAGATGTTGGGAAATTGTTCGAGATTATACACATGTTGATTTGATGGCACAATATAAATGAAATTAAAAATATATTCCATTATTTGTCAAAGGCCCCAATAAAAATAAATTTTATTAAATTTTTGATTCACATATTTTTATTTATTTTTGATTTGTTTTTGTATGTTTGTGTTTGTGTTTTTTTTTGTTTTGTTTTTTTAATAATTTTTGTTTAAATATTTTTCGTGTTTTCACTTTTTTTAGCGCTCACATTGAATACAGATTATGGTTTTACTCTCCTTTAATTTATGCTAAATAAATCTTTTCGTTTCGTCGCCGGATAAATAGAACTAACTGAAGCGTCTATGAATTTATTATTAATACTATGAATATATCATTAGATGTAGTAGCATAACTAACGATTAGTGTTTACACTATATAGCTATATATAGTTTACAATCGTGCAGCGTTTCTATTTATATATATTTATTTTATTTTTTTATTTGCATACTTTTTTGAGTGAATTTTGTTCTAACTTTACACTGAGATGAGTTTTTTTCTTCTGAACAACATTGAAACATTTGTACAATAAATTAAACTAAATTACAAAAATTCTCTAGGGGAAAGTGAGAAGAACTGTACAGCTTATAAATTAATATACAATTTTTACAACAAATAGAGAGAGAAATGTTTTTCTTTTTTGCTTTTTATATAAACAACAAATAATTTACAACAAAGAGGTTTTCTTTTTTCTTTAATTTCTCATTGGGAATAAAAGTCGTTTTGAATTAAAAAAAAATGTGTTCCAATTTTTGGGATTGGATTAAAGTTTTCAAAAATCTAAAAAATCTTAGTAAAGTTGTGGTATCTTTTCTCTTATAATTTCTGTTTTTAGACGACTTTTAAACCCAATGTTTATAGTTTTAATACTGCTCGTGGCAAGAACTTGGTGGCGTTTTAGCTTAGTGGGCGGGGCTGCTGCGGTTTCCCGAGGGCGGAGAGCCGGCAGCCGAGGACGGTGGCCCCTGACCTTGACCCCCGCCGTTGATGGGCAGTTGGTAGGGACTGAAGCGCTGGTACTGCTGCCGGGGTCGCATATCCGGGGAGGGGGATCCCGATGACGTCGACGAGGGGGTGGAGGCGGTGGGCGGCGGCGGGGGCGTCCTGTTGGCGGCCATCGCTGCTGCCGCTGCTGCTGCCTGCGCCTGCGCTTGAGCTTGAGCGGCGGCTTGGGCGGCAGCGGCCTGCTGATTGGCACTCGCCAGAAAGCCGGCGGTAAGTTGCGGCCATTGCTGCTGGAACATGTGGAAGGCGCCCAATCCAGGTGGGGGTGGTGGTGGACCTGCTGCCGCCGCTGCCGCCTGATACATTTGTGGCATCATCAGTTGCGCGTACGGTGAGTTGCCTCCGAACATCTGCAGATGCTGGCGGGCCTTCTCGAAGAGGGCCATCGAGGAGGGATCTCCCTGGGCGGCAAACTGTTGCATCAGCGGATCGGGAAAGAGACGCAGTGGCGACCGGAGCTGCTGCTCCAGGAGCAGGGCCTCCATTGGATCGCGATCGAAGTCGGTGAGGCGGGAGGAGTCGCGAAAGCCCTTGGCGAACGGATTAGAGTCGATCTTCAGCTTGGTAATCAGCTGATTCTGATAGGCAGTCACCGCCGTGAACACGGTCTCCGGGAACACGTAGGTCTTGTGATCCAAGTCCTGCAGTTCCTTGGGATTCGACGGAATGCTCTGGCCGTGGCTCAAACGAACCAAGTGAATGCGGGGCTGATAGCGGTGCATCGAGTTTAAGACGATCTGGAAAGGGAACAGAAAGGGAGAGGGTTTCATTGTAGTAAGTCGTTTGAAAATGGTATATCTTGGGATGAGGGAAGTGGAGAAAATGATTGATAAACCCCCTTTAAAAGATGGCTCTAAAGTTTGATGAACTATGATATAACAGAATAATCGTAATCAATGGAGTCTTTTAAATAACACGAATATAAAAAAATAAAAAAATTAATAATATGCATTTAACATTTATAAAGTTTTTTAAGTAACAAAAATATAGAGAAGCAAGATCATTTAATAATTTTCTCTAAGTAAAAATAAGCAACACAGATTTTTCTATTTTTTTAGCTAAGCTGCATTAATCAAAACAGAATTAATTTCAGTATATTTTCCCGTCTTGCAAAATTATCAATCATTTAGCACTCGCGGCTAATCGCTACCTCAGCATCTGAATGTCTCAGTAACCGAGTATCTGAGTATCTCGCTATTCCAGTATCTCAGTATCTCGGCAACCGAGTATCTTTCGCAACCGCAACTCACCTGTCCGTTCTTATCCATTTCGTTATTAGTCAGCTTCACCTTCTCGAAGGAGATGACTTGTTTGCGCAGCGCCTCGCAGCTGAAGGGACTGTCGGGATGGGCGTAGAGGCGGGCTGGGGGGGCGGGGTCGGCCTTGCCGGCCACCAGCCAGGCGGACCGATGGTAGGCATACCGATACCGCTTCGAGTCCATGGGGATGATGTCCATTAGGACGGCATAGCGATCGGCGGGCTGGATTTGCCTCAGCGGACCCGAGAAACTCACTCGCACAGTGGGGAACATGCGTCTGGAAAAAGGGTAACAATAAAGAAAATGAATTCGATTAGACTTTTTTCTATTATTCTAAATATTTTAGGGGGCATTGCCACACAGCTAGTTAAGTCCGCAATTTATGGGGGCTTCTACTATATTTTCTTCTAGATTTTCTTCTAAATTTTCCCTGCTTTGACAAGTGCAGACAATGAAAACAAAAGCGAGAGACTCTTCCTTCTTTAAAGAAAATCTGTTCAATATCCTGTGGTTTAATGTGTCCCTCCAAAAAAAAAACCGGTGACATAACCTCGGGCGAGAAATTCGGGGACCGCCCTGATGTCTGCGACTCCGAGGTGTGATTTTTACAATATCATTAGGGTGTATCTATGTAGGTGTATCTGTGTGACCTGTGTGCGTGTGGTCAGGTGTGTGGGAGCAAAGGTGTGTGGACTGTGGACAACCCGTCGTCATTTGGATTGATCTTGTTCCCATTCTCCCGCTGACAACAGTAACGCCTTTAGCTCTGATTTTCTTTTCCAGCAGGTATACAAATTTCCCTTGATTTTTTGCACAGTTCTTTTGGACCCCACACAGTCCCTGAGATGGCATGAAATTTTTGTTGACATCGCAAACCATTTGGCGAGTCAATTTATGACCAGAGTAGATTTTAAATAATAAAAGAGGAGCAGTTGTTCTTGAAATAAAGGAGTTTTTCGGAAAAGTGAAGAGTGAAAATATTGTGGGAAATGAAAGGAATGTAAAACAGGGTTTCTCTTAAATATTTACCAATGGTAAAATAACCATTATAAACGATTTTAGCCATAATAAAATATTTGTATATTATTATTAAACTCCCCGAAAATGTCTCTTTGTAAATTGATTGTATTTTATTTATAAAAAATCGAAATAAAATTTTAGCATTAATTTATGAACAATTTTTATTAATACATAATTTTTCCAATATTACTTAACTCCCCCGAAAATCTCCCACGTTTTTTCCCCCATTTAAACTAATGCCTGTTTGCACTGCCGACTGACTGAATGATTGACTGACTGATGGATGGATAGTTGCTTGTTTTTGGATGCTTACCTGCCCGTTTTGGTGATGATCATCTCGGTGCCGAGATCGTGAAAGCGATCCCACAGCTCTTTGGTCTCCAGGTGGCATTGCACCGGCTTCAGGTCGTCGCAATTGCAGGAGCCAACGATTTTGGGTGCCTTCTGCACCGGTTCCGGTGTTAAACGCTCCTCACTGTCCTCCGTTCCCGGCGATTGGGGCGGTGTGGAGCAGCGTCCTTGGCTGCTCGTGGAGCTTGTGTTTAGCTGGGATTCCGCAGAAGCTGTTTGTGCCACGGCGCCACCACCAACGCTGTTGCGACTCTTGTGTGCCACATTATTGTTGTTGTTATTATGGTTGTTGTTGTTGTGGTGACTGTGATGGTGGTGCTGATGGTGGTTCAAACGACGGGCTTTGGTCGGCGGCTCCTCGGCATCACTGCAGTCAACGACATCAACGTCAACCTCATCCTCCACCGAAATGGGACCTTAAATGACACAAGAAGGAAAAGCGAAAATTGAAAATTAAATGTGAATTGCAGACTTTGGTTTTGGGCTTAAGTTAAGTGAAAAAATAAATGCACATGAGAAAAAACGCTAAAAAAAATGTAAGTATCCCTATTTATAAAAATAAATGCATATTTAGCTTGAAAAATTAAGTGAAATATGTTTTCAGTTAAAAGTAAATTATCACACGTTGTACAATACTTTCTAAATGTTGTTTTCTCATTTAAAGTATTTTATATATATTTTTAAAATACGTTGGATATTATGAAAATTTTTACTATAGTAAATCACCAAGTATTCCATTTAAAAACCTCACTAAACTCTTAAAAAATCACTAATCTGTAATATATTTTTGATCACAAAATCTTTTAGATATTTTAACGATTTTTCCGCTGTGCATTTAACCAAACTGCGGCCGTTTTTCCGCTTTTCCGTTGACAACATTGACTGGTGGAGTGGATTTCGCGGCAGACAGCGTGGAGTCGTCTCATATTCTTGGAGTTTCCGCTTCGCTTCGCGTTACGATTACAATTTCAATGAGACAATGAGACGACCGCTCGCTTAATTGGCAAACTGAACACAAATTGGCAATTAAACAGCCCGAAACTCTAGCTGCGATTGCTCTTTTTCATTGCATAAAGACAGAAAAAGTCGAGGGCCCCAAGGTGTGTGCAAAAGTTGATGAATAATATGAATGCCTATAGGGCAAAGACGAAATATGGCATACGCTTTCCCATTTTCATCCGAAAATTGTAACGAAATGGTTAAGCGAATGAATATGCTCGCTTTTTTGCAGGTGAACCCAGACGGTAGGTGTTAAAATGCAAAGTAAGCAAACGGAAAGCCACGGAAATAAACAAAACAAAAAAGTATAAAAATTAAAAAGCTGCATATTTGATAAAAGATCATAAAATATGAGACTTTGCTGTTGGGTCTTTTGTTTTGATTTTGGCCGTCGCTAATTTTCTGCGCCTCGTAAAATTAATAAAATGAAGCACATTGTTGAAAATTAATTAACATAATTAGCAGCTTTTGTTTGGCGTCCGATGGAAATATGAATTCCACGCGATTAGATGCTGTGCACAATTTGCATATTATCGGTTATAAGTGCTGCAAGTGTTTTTGTATATACATATATCTGACTTGCGATCTTTGGCTTGGCTTAATTGCGAATGCCGTCGGCCAAAGAGAACTAGTTATTCGGACCGGGCTCAAACGCCTGCTAATTGTCAATGGCAATTAAATGGAGCTTTGCGCACCCAAAGCGACAACACAGTAATTTAATAGATTTGTTGTGCAATCAATTAGCGATTGTCTTGTGTCTAATAATGTTAGCTGTTTTATTCTTGGGCGCTGAGTTGTTGATGGAATTTTTAAGTAATTTGTTTTTATTTATTTTAGTATGACAATGAAATATTGGTTTGTATCTTTGAGTACTCTTTATTTGAGTGGCTTATAATTCCCAAAATATATAGAAAAAACGAAAGTTCAAATTTTAAAAATGCTTAAAAATAAAACAAAAAATAATTCAGACTTTATTTAGTTATTATAATGCAATGTTTCAAAGTGAAAGCTCCTTTTAGGAGATATATTCGTCAAATTCTTAACCAAACAAATTTATGTTTCGCCTTGTTAGCCAAAAATTATGAAAAACACCAATTACTTGCTCTTTATAAGAAGTATCTTTAATATGTGCTTGGATCTAAAACCATATTATACCCTATTCAAGCTTCTAACTCATAAATATTTAAGAAAAACAGACTAAAGATATTTTCTAACAACTGACTGGCTATTTTCCCTATTTAACTCCTAGAAGTAACTCCTTATAGAGGGTATTTCAAGATCGTATCTCAACTTACTTGCACTGCGGATGGAGGACTCCCGACTGGAGGCATCTTCGCGGGCCATGATGGCGGCGATGGAAAAGTCCGTCGCCGAGCCGGCGGCACTTTTGCTGGCGGTCGTTGTTGCTGTCTGTGCACTGGCATTCGGAGCGGTATTTGCGGTTGCAGCGGGCACAACGCCGTTGCACAAATACGGATGCGAACCCACCAGCATTTTGTATGTGTTTTCTATTCGTTCTCTATAGGGATTTGAACTGTAAAAATACCCTTTTTCGGGTATTTTTTAGATATTGTATCTGGGCACTTGTCAACACTTGGCACTTATAAAGCTATCTGCATTTTCAGCACTTTTTAGCTTGGGATTTGATATCTCGAAGGTGTGTTTGTATCTTTCAGATCTCTGTTATCTGTATCTTTTGCTTTCTTTTGTATCTTTGGCGCACGCGAACTGAGAATCTCGCGGACTGAGTGTGTGCGCAACGGAAGGCAGGCGACGACGAACTGAATTGTGTCAGGAAATTGTTGCCGCTGAGAAGAGAAGTCGAAAACGACGGCAGGCACAAAACTCGGGAAACCAGTTTTCCCGCATATCTTTCAGATACTTGAGCAAGCGAGACAACTATATGGTTTACCCTTCAAAGTCCAAGTGCGAGTGGGTCAACCATAGGGCCTCTCACACACTGAGTGAAAACGCCGCTCGCTCTCTCGGTGCGTTTTCCAATTGGAAAATACGGCGGGGGAGGCAACGTGCGACAGAGAGAGAGGCGGCGCTGTCAGCAACTTGCGCCCCTCTCTTTCCCGCTCCCCACCTCTCTCTCTAGCGAAGGCGTCATAACTCATTTACAATTAAAAATGTCGGCGCTTTTGGCTCTCTCGCTTGCACTTAATGGCACCCCCATAGCTGCCTCTCATTCGCTCTCCTCTCTCTCTTCGCCTCTCTTTCTCGCCCATTTATGAAGTGCCAACGTTTTGCTTGCGGTTTTTCTTCGATTTTTTTAGACAACTTTTCGCCGTTGTCGTCGCATTCCATTTCCTGTTATCTCCTCTTCTCACGGTTTCGGTTTCTTCCATCTTCCGTTTTGAGCGACTGTTTCATTTCGTTTCCAACACGTTCCGCCGCTCACTCAATGGAATTTGAGTGAGTTTTTCTTCCTCGGTTTTTTTCGCAGTTGCATCCTGCTGTTTTCTGTTTTTTTTATTCATCTGCAAGGACATGGACCTTGAGTCAAGGTTATTGCAATCATGCGTTGAGAATTTATTAGTTTCAGCTACGAAAATGTTGTTTTGTGTAAGCCGGGGAAATAACATCTAAAAAGAATTTGGATGTCTTTAATTCTTTTAAGAAGCAATATAGTATTTCAAAGTTTTTAAAATCCTTTTTTCAGTTTCAGGGAAAATTATTTTATTTTCCAGAAATTGTAGAATTGTATATTACGTATACGTAATTAATTTGCATTTAGGACAAAATGTTATATTTTTTCAGAAACATAATAAATAAGAATTTTTACTTTAAAATTAACTAAGCGTATTTTTATAAAACATTTTTACGGTTGTGAAGAATCTATTTTATACGAATAATCTTTTTTAAACATGAAGTTTCTATCTTATCAGTTTTTTTTGCCTTAGCCTATGTTTTAAAACGTCATTTACAATCCTAACAATCAACCCTTTTACAAGAACCCTAAATTTTAATTTCAACCATTGCGACCCACCACCAAAGAATTTCCCTTCAGCAAAACCACTATAAAAGTAAATAACAGGGATCTTTCCAATTTAGTAACGCCCCATCAATGCAGTATTTTTAATAACAACTTATAGAACAATTTCTCATATTTGCATGCAATATGACAGAAGCCACTCCCCTAGAAAATTTCCCCCATAATATTTACAAATGTCAACAAATCGTTATGTTTCCCAGGCCAAAGTCAAGACCTTTGTCAGTGCCAATTAACCCGCTAAAAAATGCAAAGAAAATGCGATTGAGAAAAAGGAAATTCATACAAAGTGACAGTTCGTCAAATTCATTACGTGTCGTCGTGAGGGTCGCCAATTATGAAGAAAGGAAATCCTGAGATCCCGAGTTCCGGAATCTGGAGATCCTAACTAACTAACAAGCTGACTAATCCCGCTTATCCTGTGCGAGGAAAATATCTTCTTGTTGTGTGATTTCTGTAATTTGAGACATTTTTTACGTCGGGGAAAGACAAAGTGGGCATGTCACTTTGACACTTTCACCCTGGGAGAAATGCTGAAAGTGGAGTGGGAGGGATACGTCGTGTGTGTTCTGGTTACAATTGCAGTCGATTTAATAGTTCATTATGAGGAATATCCCTTGCATATTAAATTAAATTTAGTGTTAGAGTCTCAAATAAATATTTACCTTAAGAGAATTTATCAAATATTTGTTATAGTCCAAATTAAAATAGAATAAACCTCTTTAAATTTAAAGAAACATGGAAAAAATTTTGAAAAATGTTTAAAAATAATTTGTAAAACTGGAAAAAAAATAGAACAATGTTTGTTATGCCTGCAATGAGTCCTATTAGTTTGCCCTTTACTGTCCATCTACATGTGTGTCTTTTTAGGTGGCAGTCGCGTATGTCACCAAAATGTCAAAAGCCAAGGAAAACACAAGTTGTGAAAACAAAGGGCGGCCGCTCAGAAGAAAAAAGTGGCCACTTGGCACTTGTAAAAATAAACAATTTTGCTTGTTAATTAGTGCGGCTAACTGTCCTCGTTTGACTTTCTCCTTGTTATGTCCTTTCCCTCTTGAGATCTCAAGTATTTTTGCCCTTGGCTTTGTCGGCAATTTTATAAATTTCTTCGATACTTTTCCTTCTTTTTTTAACGATCGCTTTGGGTAATCGAATACTTTCACTTTAAATTCGGCCGACAGAATTGTGGAAATTTCCATTGGTCAATGAGAAGGACATATTTTCCTGCTCCAATTTTCCTGGGGCGGTCACTTTGATTGATGATCAATGGGCAAATAGATAACTAATGTTTTGAGCTGGCTTCAATTTCATTTTTCCCTTTGCTCACTTGAGTTTCCCTTATTTTGTCTGCGGCATTTCCGCTTCTTAAGTTCATATAACACTTTCCGGGGCTTCGATTGCAAAGGGTTTATCAAGGGGGGTTTCTTTTTCTCGATTTTTCTGGCACTTGAGCCGCCCTGAAGTGGGAGGCACGTGTTCTTATTATTTTTATTTTTATACTTTTAAAGGGGTCTGAAGACGAGGAAGCGGTGAATTTCCGCTCGGCACTTGCCGCGACTTCAAAATCCGCCCGATAAGCATTAAAAGCGGAAGCAACCCAAGCACTATTGAGTTTCTATTTATAAGGCGGAATCGCAGCAACATGTGTGCTGAGATGTGGAAATATGATTTTGTATTATTACTTGTTATTACATTGTATTTTATAACAATTTTATTTTCTTGAATACATAAAGAAAAAATATTATTATAAAATGCATAGCAACAAACATTATTTATTCAATTTATGGAACTTCAAAGCAAAATATTAGAAATTACAACCAATAAATAAAGATATTGTTTATAATTATTGCTTAAACATTGCTTAAGTATTAATTTAATATATTTCAAAATTCATAGCTTAAACTATTTCAGTATTTTTTATACTCTCTCTTTACTTTACCCATACCAAATCGTATTACAGAATTAATAATTCATAATCCAAAGGAATCTTCATTCTTCCCCTTGAAGATCCTCAAATCACATTAGGTATTTCCAGTTTTTCGGTGCCGCTTTGTCTGGCGAGGACATTTGCCAAATCATCTTTCATCCTTCACGCATTTCCCTCGTGTCCTGTGGCCAGCCCGCAAATATTTACCAAATATTTTCCATTATTTTCAGTTGTTTGCACCGAGAACGCCCACAAAAAAAAAGAAGAATATTTCTGGGTGTAAAAGGAGGAAGAAGGCTGGGGCAACCGGTTTGTCTGGCTGTTTTGTTCTGGAATTTATTAATGAAACTCATTGGGTTGGGTTTTTGCTTTCTGGGCTTTGCCCTGGGGACCTGCTTGTTTTGGGTGTTTCGGTTTTTTCGGCTTTTGGGTGCATCTTCAAAACGGAGCCGACGCTTTGATAAATGCCCGACACTCTCTTTTGGCTACCGGCTGCGAGTTTTTCCACTCATTTTTCCTCTTAGCCCGGTAGCAATTCCGCTAAAAGTTGGCCAGTTTTTTTTACAGTAATTTTTGGTGTACAAAAAACCACAGTAGACCGCTAGGAATAGTAGCAAATTTTCTGGGAATTCCCTTTTTGCAGACACCATAAATCTTTGCATATCTCTGAGTTGGCTGCTTTTATATATACATATACCTATATATTTATATCCTACGTGTGCAGTAACAATTGTCACACCTTTCGGCGGCCACTCAGCAAAACCCCCCTCGCCCTCTTAACCCCTTTGTGGTGCTGTGTGTGTAATTTGACTCATTAACAAACCGAATCCGAGCCTCAATCTCTGGGATGTCCGTGTGTGTTTCTCTGTGTGTTTCTGAAGGGTTTTCGGCTTTGCCACATAAATCACAACTTAAACGATGCGTAATACTGAGGCCCCAGAATCTTGGCTTTATTTATTTGTTTTTTTTTTTGTATTCTGCTCTAAAATTTATGTCATTGTCGGGCGACGCCCCTCCTTGTTTTCCCTTCACTTTTTGTAAGGTTTTCCCCTTTGCAATTGGAGTCGAAGCTCTTTGAGTCGGCTTAATCTTCACTAAAACGCCCATTTTGTGCACCTTAACACTAAATTTACATATCCACCCGGGCAGCTGGTGGATCCTTCTCCTTTTTTATGGCCCAATTACAGACGGCGATTTCACATTGCAAATCTGGAGAGGCAGCTGCAAAGTCAGCGACTCGGGGATTGGATCTTTAAGATGCGCGGAGATTACCCAAGAGTGCCCGTAATTGCAAACGGGCGAAATGAGTTCACTTTGAGTCGGCAATTTGCCGGTAATTATTACCCAATCTACAGAAGCGGAGAGAAAACTGCTAAAGTTATAATGAAATTTCATAAATTATCGGGAATATTACACAGCAGCGAAATGTCAAATTGGCAAAATGATAAGAGTGCAAGGTGAACGTTTTTTATTATTTTTATTTACAATTTTAAGTTGTTACTGCTGTGCCAAAATTTAATGAAAACATATTTAAGTGTCCTTTAAAAAATATTTTTTTCCTTTCTTCGATCTTCTATTTTGTTTCTAAATTTGGTTTTATTTTTTAAATTAATTTGTTTTCAAACAAAATGTAGAAGATAGTTCAAATCATTTTTTTTAATACTCCTAAAATGATTGATTTAGTTTTTTATGATTATGAAAAACTATGTCATAAGTGTTTTTATTTATCCTTAAAATTCGTGAAAACGGCTCCGATACTAAGGAAATTTTTTACTTATCCATAATTTGCGTATGCTAATCCCCAAAATATTTCCCTTTCGAGCGGTTCGTTTGTAGTGGCAATTTCTGCGAATTTCTAG